AGGCCCAGCGTCTAGTTGACGTTCTCCTGGCCTCCTTCACCCTGGCCCCCTGGAGTAGCATCGCCTAGGAGGATCTGGTGGAGCAGGCAGGCGACTATCTTTCCCGCAGAATTTCAGTCGTGCAGAGTCAGGACCGTCCCAAGGCCTCTGCTGCCTGAGGCAGAACAACACATGGCAGCCGGCCTCCCTGCCTCTCAAGCTGCCTGTTGCCTCAGACCAGCCAAGTGGCTTTGGCACCTAAGGTGGACAAATCATCATCACACAAGCGCTTGTCCCATATTTGTCCCACATTTCCTGATAGTAGAAATATAACCATGAAAAAATACAGTAAGCCCTTCGGGGCTCTGGGTATAGGTAAAGCCCTGCTTAGAGGTAGGAAGTCCCAGGTTCGAGGTGAAACAACTCCCAGATGGGCCTATTAAGGGGTGTCTTCACCAGCTTCAAACCGATCCAAATTTCAGAATTGAATAAGTGTATCAGTCTAATTTGGAGCAATTTAAAAACAAAAGAGACGTGGTTCTGGAGTAAAGCAAAGTGAATCTACAAACTGATTTCAGGGAACAAACCAAAGAGGATACCAATTCCCACTGTTTCCCCCTTTTAAAATTTTTCAAAAGGAGCAAGGTTCCCCAACGTTTTAGACATCAGGGACTGATTTAGTTGACGACCATTCTCCCAAGGCCTCTCTCTCTCTCTCTCTCTCTCTCTCTCTCTCTCTCTCTCTGTGTGTGTGTGTGTGTGTGTGTGTGTGTGTGTGTGTGAGAGAGAGAGAGAGAGAGACTTGTTATGCAGTAGTTTGTTGGAGGACAGCTTTGAATCAAGCTCATTATATGTGTTGTGCCAGGATGGATGAGTAGCAAGCAGGAGCCGCCATTGAAGTTCCACCTCCTGTTACATCTGCAGCAGCATTAGACCCTAATGGGAGGGCTATGAGATTCTAATGCCACAGGCCCAGCTGATCTAGCAACAGCAGAAGGGGAGTGAGGCTCCGCCTCCTGTCAGATCAGGGGTGGCATTAGAACCGGATAGGAGCACGCTGACAGGAGGCGGAGCTTCGCTCACCACTCATCTCCTGCTCGCCACTCCTCTGTCCCAGCAACCCGGTCCTTCCAAGGCCACCGATCGGTACCGGTTCGTGGCCCGGAGTTTGGGGACCCCTGGTTGAGCTATCTGGCTGCAGGGCCAAAGGTTGGAAGTTCAATTCCTGATAATGTCTCTCAGAAGAACAGCCAGCCTGTGTGGCCTTCGGCAAGCTGAACAGTTCCAGGGCACCTGCAGAAAAAGGGAAGAATAAACCACTTCTGAGTCTGGAAAACCGTGAAAAGGGGTTGCCATAAATCAGAATTAACTTGATGGCATGTGATTATTCTGGCTGGATAGCTGAGTGGTTTTGGTCTCCGGCTGTGGAGTCGGAGGTTGGAAGTTCACTTCTCTGCTCAGCCTTGTATGAATAGAGCCAGCCTGGGTGGCCTTGGGCAAGCTGCACCGTCCCCCTCAGAAGAAGGGAAGGGAAAGTCACCTTTGAGTCTTTCTCTACCTGGCAACCCCCCCAAAAAAGGGTCACCCTATGCCAGAACTGACTTGACAACACATATTATTGTTACTGGAATCAATCACGCTACCAAAGCGTAAAAACAGGTACATCCGTGCAAAAACAAAGGAGTCACCGCTATTTCCCATGCAACTCCATGGCGGGGGAGGGAGTGGGGCTTGCAGAATTGACTCAGAAGGGAAATCAAATCAAGATGGCACACCAATCACCCCGGGCTGAACTGGGATGCTTTCCAGTGCCCTGAACTGGTTTCCAAACTGGATCCATGGGCCTGCCCACAGCCCTGCCTGTCCTCTTTAATTGCATTGACTTGAGAAGCCTGGAGACCAAACCGTAGCAGGAAAGATTGCAAGGCAGGGCGGCCCAAGACATTTTGCTGCCTGGGTAAATGGCATGGATCGCTTCCAGAGGCAGGGTGCATAGTACCTAAGGCCAGCCAACTAATTTTGGCTGCTTTTGCAACCACCCCTCCCATTTCCTGGCAGTAAGAGTACAAATAACAAAGTAAATAGCTAAGTATTTGCTAGACTGGTGACAGCCAGACTCTTCAGCTGCCTGAGATGGCTGGGCTCTTCCCTCGGCCTGAACGCAGGGCCGATCCGGAGCTCTGAAGTGACACATGAGATGCAAAGCAAGAAGCTTTACTTGTAAATGGAAGCTACCTGTGAGGAGTTATTACTCACTCGACTCATCTTTTCCTTTTCCTTTTTTGCTACAAATAAGATGACAAAGTTGTCCATTAAAAATGATATAGAGAGTGGCAAAATGGATATTTATTGGCACAAGTAGCAAATGTCTTGCCTTTAGGAATAATAATACAGTGGTGCCTCGCACAACGAGTGCACTGTAGAGTGATGAATTCGCTCTACGAGGCCGGTTTTGCGATCGCAAATGCGATCGCACACCGATGCCTGCATAGGGCGAAAATTGCAGAGTGAAGGTCGGTAAGCAGTTCGCTTACCGACCTTCGCTTTGCGACCCGCTGATCAGCTGTTCAGCGGCTACAAAATGGCCGCCGGAAGCCCCAAAGTGGCCACACGCAGCGTTTTCGCACCCTCGTTAAGCGAGGGGAGGGCGCGAAAATGGCTGCCGGCCATTGCAAAACATCACTGAACGGTGAGTAAATCAGCCGATTGGAATGCATTAAGTGTCTAAGGCACTTTGTTCAGATGCTCAATTGAACATTATTTCATCTTTCCTCAAAGTAGTTCCCATGTCTGTCCTTCCCGTCCCCACTTTATCTTCACAGCATTTCCACATAGTAGGCCAAGCTGAAAGGGAGTGGCCAGCCAAGGGTACTTGTGAGTTTAGCAGATCAAGGGATTTGAACTCAGATCCCCCAAGTCCTAATCCAGTATCCTCACTGCTCCAACTGCACCGGCAGGGCTCCTCACAGATCCTTGTGTTTCCATAAATCTGTTGCCCTCATCTTCCGCTCATCCCAGAGGGAACTAGAGCCACCAGATCCCAGAACCCCGTGGGCTTCCTATTGAGTCCTCACTGCCTTGTTCTTTCTTTCTAGACAATATTTGGTGCTGGTTCCCCTCCTGATCCGCACAGAGACCCCTGAGAACATCTGCGTCCAGTTGAACCACCTGAACGAGTCCGTGACACTGAGCGCCACGCTGGAATACGCAGCACACAACAGAAGCCTCATCAGTGATGTGATATCCGAGAAGGATTTTTTCCGGTGCATCCCCATTGAGGTAATTTCCACAGCAGTCACTAGGCTAATCTTTAGCAGGAAAATAATATGTATGAGGTATTCTGTTTTAAGACCAACAAATTTATCATTGCCTCAGCTCTTGTGGACGCACATCACAGATGCATGGAGTGAGGTTGGGGGGGGCGGGACTTCCAATATATTAATTTGCCCTTTTCTGCCCTCTAGAGGCTAAAAAATTATTTTTCAAACCATTTTTTTAAACTTCAGGAGCCTTAGCAAGCCCAGTAATGGCTGGTGGGGACCCAAACATGCCAGATTTGTCTGGCGTCCCTCCTCAAGGAGATACGGATATTTTCTGAAGCAGAAATATTGTTGATACAATCTTTAAAAATTTAATGTGGACGTCCTGGATAGCTAGAGTACACTTAAGCTGTTTGGAAGGCACAGGCAGCCTAGGGGTTGCCCTTTGCCCACCCTGATTTTAATGAAATGTAAAGCGTTCGAAGCTGCTTGGGAAAGAGCTGAACCCTCAGGTGAAAAATGTGCTAATACAAAACTTTTATTTTGGTTCAAGCCTTTACTGGTGGACGGAGAACTTGTGAAGGAACCCTGATTCAGCTGTTTCACAATGTCATCTTTATTTGGAATATCCTCCCACAACAATAGCTACTTTGACTCAGGGGTAACATGTCCTGGAAAGCAGGCGTATTCTGTTATGGGTTATTATGGGTTGAGACTTCCGATGTCGGATGGGTGTCCCTTTATAATTTTACATTGATTTTGTCCTGTTTGCTAGAAAACAGCACAGCTGACAAAGCAGAATGTATTTGCTATATCTTTCTTTCTCTTTATTATTTTAATTAATTAATTAATTAATCAAATTTATTTTACATGCCATCCTTGCTTGTCTTTCTGGGAGGCCAGAAATGTGGCACTACACCAGTGCCACATTTCAAGCAAATCAGAAAAAATTTTCCTGTCAGCTTTCACACCCATCTATAATAACCTTTCTAATGTTCATACGTGACTCTAAAGCCACCAGTGCCATATTTCAAGCAGATCAAAAAATTTTTCCTGTCAGCTTTCACACCCATCTATAATAACCTTTCTAATGTTCATACGTTACTCTAAAGTTCATGGTCCTCCTCCTCCTTCTCTCTCTCTTTCTTTATTTCTTCTTCAGCTTCCCCGATTGAACGGCACCTCGAACCCCTCGGTGCTCCTTCTCACTGTGAAGGTGGAAGGGCAGACGCTGGCCTTTTGGAGCCGGAGAAGGGTGCTCGTGAAAAACGTGGACAGCCTGGTCTTTGTCCAAACGGACAAACCCATCTACAAGCCAGCACAGGAAGGTAAACAACCAGTTCCGGTGGAAAGACAATTCCTTGGAAATCTTGCCTAATCTGTCCAAACAAGGATGCTCTCTTGCTAAGCAAACTGAATCCTAGTTAAGCACAGTTTGGGACTTCAAAAACTTCCATTGGTTTGGAAACAGGGTGGCTTCACATATT